GTTTTCTCGATTTTTTGCTCGATTTTTTTATTACAGTGACAACTCATCTCTTATAGATATATGTGGGATTCTCAATTCAGAAAGTCACATGGCAACAGTGAATTCACTGCTTTACCTTACAGTGAGCATGCCCTTATTTTGTGGGTATATGCAGATGGATTGTCAAGTCATGTGACTTGGTGCACAGGCTTTGGTCAAGTTGATTTTTTGCTCGATTTTTTTATTACAGTGACAATTCATCTCTTATTGATATATGTGGGATTCTCAATTCAGAAAGTCACATGGCAACAGTGAATTCACTGCTTTACCTTACAGTGAGCATGCCCTTATTTTGTCTGTATATGCAGATGGATTGTCAAGTCATGTGACTTGGTGCACAGGCTTTGGTCAAGTTGATTTTTTGCTCGATTTTTTTATTACAGTGACAACTTATCTCTTATTGATATATGTGGGATTCTCAATTCAGAAAGTCACATGGCAACAGCGAATTCACTGATTTAACTTACAGTGAGCATGCCCTTATTTTGTCTGTATATGCAGATGGATTTTGAAGTCATGTGACTTGGTGCACAGGCTTTGGTTTTCTCGATTTTTTGCTCAATTTTTTTATTACAGTGACAACTCATCTCTTATTGATATATGTGGGATTCTCAATTTAGAAAGTCACATGGCAACAGTGAATTCACTGATTTACCTTACAGTCAGCATGCTCTTGTTTTGTCCGTATATGCAGATGAATTCTCAAGTCACGTGACTTCGTACACAGTATTTGCTTTTCTCTGTTTTTTCAGTCTAGTGACAACTCATACCTTGTTCATATATGTGGGATTGTCATACAGAGGCATCTTTCTAAAGTCGTTCATAACCAACTATATAAACGACTAAAAGTGAAGACACAACCTTACAACTCATTTCACCCTATGAAATTATCATTCATTTGTTTTAAAAAATTAGCATGGCTACATGGTTCATGGGAGAGAGTGGGAATCGCAAAGGTGGTAAGAACTTGCAAAGGGGTGACAGTTCACGACGAGGAGGGGGAAGGGGACGTGGCGATGCTGAAGACGATTCATGGGAGGGAGTGGGAATACCTGTTTTAGATTATGCTTGTGGTTATCGTAATAGTTTTGGGAAGCGACATTTTTTGATGCCCAAGTATTATCCAATTCAAGGAGGTTCATGTATGGATCTATTAGAAAATCAAACAGGATATGGTTTAGTAGACGCTAGACTTCTGAAGTGGCCTGCACTATTTATAGAGCGAGTGCAAATGGAAAGATTATGTCGGGAAAATCGACTGAAGGTGCCAAAAGCACGCTCTGTTGAAATCCAAAAGGAAGATCCTGATAATGTTGATCGACTATGTAAAAGACTACAACGTGAGATTTCTTAAATGCGCCGTAGGTTAGCCCGCGATATGCAGCTATACATAGTTAAGAAGGATGTCCAGAAAAACAAAACAGAATCAAATGTTGCGGCTATCAAGGGTATCATGGAGGATCCTGAACTTGTCTTTGACGTTGAGCTTTCGGATTATTTAGACTCTGAGCCACCTGCCGATTTAAGCGCGAATTAGGTGTTAATGTTTACACTTCGGCAATATTAGGTCATGCATTAATATGTACTGTCTGTGTTAGACTACGTATAACTGTTATGTTATGTTTATGTTTATGTATTGTGTCTGTCAAATGTTGCGGCTATTAATATGCAATATTAGGTCATGAATTAGGTGTCTCTCTGTCTAATTGTTATGTTTATGTATTGTGTGTTCAGTTTAGGGTGTCCAGGATGTATGTAATGTGTGTTCAGTTCACGGTGTTCAGAATGTATTTTTGTGGGAGACTTATGTTTGTACTACCTATGTAACTGAAAACTATTACATTTACAACTTCAGTTATGTTGTTTTCATGCCTGTATGAGTATTTAGTAAATTAGTAACTTCGTATATTATGTATTAAGTTTTATTACAAAAATGTTGACAAATTTTATTTTAGGAGCTCTCGCGGTGGCCAAAATAATTTTCTGAATAACACATTCTAACCAGAAACAAAGACAAAAGAAAAAAAAAAATTACATGAAAACGACTTTAGTAAAGCAAAAAAAGAAATTATTAATTACATTATCACCTTCTAACCCAAAACAAACACAAAACAATAAACAAAAAAAATTTACATGAAAATAGCTTTAGGAAAGACAAATTTTTTTTTTCTGAATTACACTTTCTAAACCAAAACAAAGACAAAAGAAAAAAAAAATATTAACATGAGAACGGCTTCAGTAAAGCCAACAAAAATTTATGAATTACATTATCACCAAAACAATGACAACAGGGAAAAAAAATTTACAAAAAAAAATTAAATATAATTTAAATGAACAGTGAAAGCGTGGTTTCAATCCATGCTTACTGTAGTGAACAGTGAAAGCATGAATTTTGTAAATAAACATGATTGGCTTAATAATATCGAAATGAATTTTAAAATTATATATATGAAAAATATTATGTAAAATTAATATATGAAAAGAGGCTTTTCCTATAAAAATTTAAATGATATATAAATTGGCTTAATTCCCAAATGCTTGGTAATTAGTTAAAAATATTATGTAAAATTAATATATAAAGAAGAGGCTTTTCTCATATGATGTAACAGAAATTAATATATGAAAAGAAGAGGTTTTTCCCATATTATGTAAAATTTCTGAATTACACCTTGTAAACCAAAACAAAGACAAAAGAAAAAAAAAAAAATTAACATGAGAACGACTTTAGTAAAGCCAATTTTTTTTTTTATGAATTACATTATTACCAAAACAATGAGAACAGGAAAAAAACAAAATATTAAAAAATATATATATATATATAAATAAATGAAAAGTGAAATCGAGGTTTCAATCCATGCGGGTGTATATCAACAGTAAAAGTGCTATTCCAAATAACGTTTTCCTCACAAAAAATTACATACACGGAGAGCGCTATTCCAAATAGCATTTTCCTCACAAAAACTTAGAGACACAGAAAATGCTATTCCCAATAGCGTTTTCATCACAAAAAATTTGACACACAGAAATCACTATTTCAAATAACGTTTTATCCAGAAAAAAAGTTTGCAAATAAAGCGCGATTTTGAACAGCGCTTTCTTAATTAAAAACGTGATTTTGAATAGAGCTTTCACTATTCATCATATTTTCAGCTCCAAATAGTGAAAGCGCGATTTGTAATAGCGCTTTAACCTAATTTGGAAATTCCGTCAAAACTAGGCCTGATTTGGAAATTAAGATACAAATTAAGCTTAATATGAGAAAAGCCCCGTGTTAATGAGCTATTATTTAATATTAAAATTTACGAGGAAAATAAAGAACATTAAAAAAGGCAAAAAAAATTAATAAAATTTATTTTGTATTCTTCATTTTTATTTTATATTTTAAGAGCACTTATTAACAATGTATAATCTTTCCCATCAATATTGTTCACTCAATGAGTAGAACATGTAGAAAATGTAAAAAAAATTCTTAGCGCACCCTCTCAATGTTGAAAAATAACCCTATATGTACACATTCAAAATTATTTTCTTTATAAAATCCACAATACCATTTTTCTTTATACACCCTACCTTTGTTCACATGCACCCATACCAACATCCTCATCCATTGGTACTTCAACAAATCTTCATAACCTTCTTCCCACATATTTTAGTTTGATTTGTTCGTTTAACACATATTTTGTTGTAGTTTTTTGTTGGTAAGTTTTTTTTAGAGTTTAGAAATGAATATTTATGGGAAAGTAATTACATTTGTATTGCTGCTATTGGGTTTTAGTTCGCCAACCAAATAAAGATTAATCGGGCATGTTTGGTCAAATATTTTTAGATTGTTCAGTTAGCCATGTGTTCAATCATGCATTTAGTCTTAATTAACCTAACTGAACAACTTGAAGATGTTCGACCAAACACGACTGAATAATCTTTATTTGTTCAATGAACTAGGACCCAACAACGGTGGTACAAATGTTGATTACTTTTCCATAAATATTCACTTCTAAATCCTAAACCCTAAAGCTCAGACATTCAGCCGAATTTTACCAAACAAATAAAGTTCATTCAGTCGTAGCTGTACAAAGCTTAATTAAACCAATAAAAAGAAGGGCACACAAAAATCTTAAAATCATTTTTTACTTTTTTTTAAATTACTTTTTCATTGTTAAAATGTATCCAAAAGACAATTAGATTGTTATTTAAATAGAGGCACTTGGCCACTAATGGCAGCATTTATTGCTAAACAAAACTAGCAAATAAGAATTCTACATGCACAAAAATATATCACAAAAAACAATCACAAAGATGCAGATCCCCACCACTTGATTGTTTTGTGATCCGTTTCTGTGCAACTACATTTTCTAGTGTGTGAGTCCTACGTTGCTGTTTCGGTGCAAGTATCTTTAATCTGTTTAAAAAGTGATTTGTATAACATAATATATGATCAATGACTACATATCCAATCAAATCTATAGTTATAAACATGTGAGAGGCAAAAACTTCCTGCCGCCGAAGAAAATTGCTCTGCTTATTACCCTCAAATCCAAATAATGAACACAAGGAGATAGATATACAAACAAAAATGATGCATAGGATGTGCCTGTCTTCAAGAAATACATAGAGAAAATGTTGCCAACCCTGCCACAAACAAGATTATTCAGCAAGCAATCTAAATTACTGATTTTGAAGCTGATCAAGGCAGAAGCAAAAGTTACACCAATAAAGCAATCCTAGATGGTTGACGGAAAATATAAATACATATGCATGGGCTTACTTTTCTAGCTAATCGCACAAAAAATCTGTAAGTTCCATTCGTTATGTCATCGCCTTTTTCTTTCTCCCCCTTTATTTCGTTAGTTATTTATTAATTTTCGATAGTTAAAAGACACCTATGTACGTCCAACTGAGATTGGAACCCTATTTGGCAAGAGAGACTACTCAAGCGATATTTCCACAAGCTAGTACGTCCAACTGAGATTGGAACCCTATTTGGCAAGAGAGACTACTCAAGCGATATTTCCACAAGCTAGTAGCCCATGGTAACCATCAGTTCCATTCTAGAATTTACATACTGAGTGAGTTATGAAGACAGTTGTATAAACACCATCTCGTGCCCCCCAAAAAACCCAATGAGCATGAATATTTTGCACAAGAGAATAATGACCACAGAATCAAAATTATAAACAGCTCAAAACCATCATGGCTTATAGTAAACAATCCAGTATTCTAAGTTGTATTTCTCTGCAATGGAATTATTCATGATCTGACAGACATAAATACGTGATTAACTTTCACAGAGGAAACCAAATTTTCATAGCCAAAGATCTGCTAAACAAATTTTAGGGCAGGAGGAACGTTAATGGTCCAAGTGGTCATGTCACTATATGAGAAAGCTAAAGCTTTTAAAAATAAATAATGAGAATGTAATTCTGCAGCAAAATTTTAATAGTGAAACTACACAGGTGGAAAAAAAAACTTGACAAAAACAGAGAAGGAACATGCATCTCACCAAATATATGTACTGCACTGCACAAACTCTCACATCTCAGGGATTGAAAAAACCTGAACCACCCATATTAATGGCAATAAGGATCAAGATACCTGTGATCACAGCAAGCCCAGCCAAAGCTGACCCTGCAAATGAATACACTATGCAGTAAAGAAAACTCAACAACCATAGAACAAGGAAATTAAAAATTATGGTATCAAACTATAACAACTCAAAGCATAATACCTCCAGAGCCTTCAGAAGCATTATCAGGATTTGATGGCGAGGATTCATCATTAACACCACGTGAGCTTAATCTTGTTGACAATGTACTTTTAGCATCATCCAAAAATTTGGTAGTTCCAGTTTCAGATGCCACTATCCCTTGAAATTCCTCACTGACAATCAAAGCTGCTAGAACATCCATAAGTGATTCTTTATCCACCCCATCAGACGAATCCCTGATACGCTGCTTGTAGGTTCCATCTGCTTCATCTGAATCAAATAACTCATCATCCGAAGCGTCTGTATCCAAAGATTCTTCTTCAGTCCTTTCATCTTCTTCGTCCTCAACATATGCTTTATATGTCAATCGAAGTAGTATTTCTCCAGAGGATCCCGTTCTGAACAGTCCCCAACCACCTCGCAAGACTACGATCCTGTCTGTTGGTACAGTATCTTTAAGAGGTCCCAGATCAACCTGGACAATATGTTGTATTCAGAAATGATGTTTGTCGGAGAATTAGAAAAGTTTATGTTTACCATTAACACAGGATGATTTAAATTCAAAATTGTTACTTTGAGAGTCAATAATACATGAATCAATCTTATGTCCGAAGGTATTAGCTACACTCAATCACAACACTAACGGAACAATCTCCTCTCTTTTTATAGGCCTTATGGTTCAGGCCCCTCAGACATGCAAAACCAAGTCAAAACAACAGCTATACTTATGTAGAAGCATTTGTTAAGAAAATTACAGAAACAAAGAGCACTAATAACCTAAGAGGATGAGATGAGTAATTTACCATTGGAACAAGGCTTTACATTGCTTTTATGCAAATTATTACAGCTGTATTTTTCCTTCTCAACTATATGCTACGTTTCAAATGCTTTGATTAATTGGCTGTACATGAACAGAACTTGCTTTACATAAAAGGTTACCAATCTAATTTGTCATCTGCCGATAGTCCTATAGATGTCTGAGGACTGTAAATATGATGATAGCACCCTATGATGCTTCTTTTGTTGCTAGAGTGATATTTTTTCCTTCATTTGTGTAGCGTGTTTATGTTCTCACCGTTAACAGAGCGTGTATGATCCTGCTCTTAGTCACATGTATATGTTTCTCGCTGCACTATCATATCATATGCATGTATATGATTGGACAACCAAGTCAACACAGTCTCTCTCCAAATAGCCAAGTGGAAGGATAAAATATTTGTATATGTATCAGTTTTGGTAAAGTCATTTGTTTTTTGTGATGCTTCAGTTTTATTCATGGAATATGGAAGTATCTCATGTATGCTCCAGTTAAATGTTTAACAACATGCTACAGTGTGTCGAACACCATCCATTGTACCGTAAATTGCTCCAATGTTCGATTATTCATTGGGCTGTGGCTCATCCTATCTTTCATACATGTTTTAAAAAAAATGAAGCTTTGTGTACATAGATTACGCTTGGTGACTTTTATATATGATGGAGGAAGATTGGCATGTCCTTTTGAGACTTGTATCATATTTTTGTTGTATATGTAAAGCTATGTAATGTAATGGCCCTCTTGTATTTTGAACCCAAATCCATGTAAAGAGTTTTGCTACTCATTTATACTATGACACCAGCACTTTATGATGACCACACAATTCACCGTTAAATTAGGCAATACACTTCCTCTATGATTTAACTAACTCAATAATAAATTGATGCACTTGAATCTCAATATAAATAGGCCTTTGGTAGCAATTACTACTGGCGGGTCATGATGTCCATTCCTTGTAGAGTGGAGATTGGGTCGTGACACCCTTGACTCTAAAAAACATTTTACAAAAAAAATTACAGAAAAACAACCAGTAGACAGTAGTAAACTAACTCTAAAATTACGACTCCAAACACTGCACTTTACGCCAACAATTTTTCTTGCATGGTGTGGGCTCCATAGCCTTTGTTTTACGTTTCAAAAGTGGGTGCCATGACTAACCAAATAATAGTTGTTGCAGCCCATAACCTTTTACCTATTTTAAACACAGTGCGAAGAAATAATGAAAAAGGGGAGGGGGGTGGGGTGCGGAGGAAGAATAGCACAAAACAATCACACGCCTCTCGAAACAAAAATGTTCACATTACGGTGTCTACAACTCACTAAGTGATAGTGAAGTTCCAATAGTTCGTCACCACAATTAGACAGATTTCATAGAGTTCAAAGAATTGGTCTTGCTGATGGTTCTTTTTTCTTTTTTTTCTTTTTTTATCAGCCTTGCTGATGGTTGTTAGGGTTGCAGTAACATGCTACTGCAAGTTTTCACGTACAAAAACAAGTACAGAGGAAAGATTAGGATTCTGGCCAAATAAATTTCACATGTGCTCCCCACATTTCAGTTTTATTTCAGCTTATTGTCTCCAAGTAAATGGACCAAGGTTTTCCAACTGCCACTAAAACAGGATGTATTGTATGTGAGAATCCAAGAATAGAGATAAAAAATGTTATTTTGGTAATCTGTCAAATGAATATAACCCAAGCCAACAAACTACATAGCATGCTCAGGTAAAAACAATTTCTTCAAATCCTTAAGTGCAAGACAAAATACATACCTCTCCTGTACCAATAGTCAAATCTGTGAATCCAAGGGAGTCCTTGACTTGGATCTGTAATTTTTGTTTTCTAGGATTTGCAACCAGCATATGAAAGTCCTGCCAGAAGGCACAATACAGCATCACTGACTGCAGTTTAAGAACATTTGAAAACTACATCCTGCTGATTAACAGTTTACAGCCGGTGAAACCAAAATACTGAGAAACTTCACCTGATTCCAAATTGGCTCACCAGGAGGCCCAATCACAGTGGTTTGACTGTTCTTTTTACTACGTATAACTTGATCTCCCAAGCTTAGAACAACATATGGGTCAGTTTTGCCTGGAAAATGAAGGGACCAATGAATATGTGACAAGGACAAAGCATGAACAAAAGACAGAGGATTACACAACAGAGAAGAGATATTAGCTTCTGCACTAAACAAGAATTTAAATTCTTTGATGTTTGTGGATGGAAAATGAGACAAGTTTATAACCTCAAAATTTGTGCTCCACACATGCTAGACAACCAAAAGCTAATGAAATTTCATTGATTCATTATGAACATGAAAATTGGATCAGGTTTTAGAAGGACAGAGAGTAGGATGTATATTTTACCAAAGAAAATGTAAGAAAGCTTCCGAGCATCTACAAGAGTTACAGACAATTCTCCAACAAAATCTTTATTTCCTTCTTGCATTCCTCCTGACTTAAACTCATTTGGCAGAGGACCAACTGCTTCTCCAACAAAATCTTTATTTCCTTCTTGCATTCCTCCTGACTTTAAATCATTTGGAACCGGACCAACTGCTTTTCCCTTCTGAAAATCTAAAACAATCTTCTTTGGACGTACAAAAAGCCGAGGCAAATCCTCAGTGAGAAGTTTTTTCAAAAACCTAGAAGGGTATAGCCAAACATTTTACGTTAATTCACATTAATAAAACAATGTTGCATGCAGCTAATCAGGTACTTAGACTACAAAGCAGTACACACATAACAACAAATAGCATGTGTCATTTGAGCCGGGGTGGAAGGGAAGGGTGGTGGGGAAGGAAGATGAAGAAGAAAAATACATGTAAAAGTGGAGTGTATGTTTCCGAAACATTTCCATTTCCACGCTAACCAAAACAGCATTTTGATCCTTGCTATTAGGAAGAAGAATAATATTGACAATTGATACTGAACAGTTGCTTCTACATCACATTATTGCCTTCAACCACTTAACTTCGCATGGAAACAGGGATATTCCAAATACATTTTATATTGTTCTAAATAGGATCTTAACCTCACAAATTTCTCAAAAAAGTATGCACAAAGCACATGCCAAGATGCAACAATTATTATTTTATTTTTTTTGGATTTTCTGTTCAACTTGTGATCGATTGACTTTCCACCAGGTGAAGGCCACCAGGCAATTCCATTAAATTCAGCTATAGAGTGCTCTAGAGAAGTAAGGTTCCTGGAAACATAGATAAAGTGCTTTAGAGTTTTATGCCCTAAGATTAATCATGATGGTAAAAAAGAAAAAGTGAACTTACATTGAGAGAACAGGAATTGCTGGAATTTTCCAATACATGCACAAAATAGGAGAAAACAAATATTAGTGTACTTCTGATCCAAAAAATATATATTATTGTACTAAACTCTATCAAATAAAAATAAAACAATGACATTTATATGATAGACATGCTACTGAACTATGCTAATGTAAAAGAATACAAAGAACGATAAATGTGTGATTTGATTCATTTAGAAATCAATCCATTCAGTCAAAAGAGGATAACAGGATTATTAGCAAGCATAATAACATAAATGGAAATAGATAACAGTTTTGTAAGTAAAAATTGGTTTTCAGTAGCCTATCTCTGCCTCTGCAATCTTCTTTGACCGATCCCTCTACTTTATATTTCTCCATGTCCCTGTCATAAATTCCAGCAAACTATTTTCTGCAGCCATAAACCTATTCTCTTCTAAACCAATGCTATTTAGAAACCATAATAGTTTCCTTCTATCTCTAATAGCACCAAGACATAAGTGAATCTAAGTCTTAACCCTCTCAAAAAGTGATAATTTTAGAATTTCAGTGTGTTTGTCTGCATCACCTTGAACTCGTTATAGTTATCTAGCCTACTGCTAATTAGAAAGCAAATCACTACGGCATGCCATAGAGGAAGTATGAAGAAGCCAAAAAGACACTAAAAAAGCCAAACCCCAAACCACGCCTAAATATAAATACTAGTGGGTGAGGGACAGACCATAATCTCTATTTTTTCCTTTAGCCTACAATGTTCAACTCTCTTTTTGTCTATCTTTTATCTTATTCTTTTCTTAAATCTAACAGGTTGCTTTTGTAACAATATCAAAAATAGAGAACACAGATGACGAGAGATTTTCATCTACGTTACTTTTACGCAGAAAGGAAAAAATAAAAAATAAAAATAGCAAACTACTCTTTTAAGGATGTGAAACTAGGATATACCCATTAGATTGAACAAACGAAATGGTGACAATTCGAACTTTATCTTCGGAAGTGAAACGAAGGCCCATGAAACAGCTCCCACCCAAGGCTCTGATGGTATCAATCGTAACTTGACCCAAAGTTCCCCATCAATGTCAAAATCTCGAACACCAACTGGCACAACAATTGGTATAATGCTAAAATTTAGTGAAAGCATCAACAACATGCGAGCACCACCAGTATAACGGAGGCCTATTTGGTACCTTGATAACATTAGAGACATAGAGATCAATTAGAGGCAATATTACACACAACATCCAAGCAAATCCATTTAACAAATCTAAAAACCAGTTTGGTATCATTCTTGTTCACAAAAATTATGAAAAATTAAAATATAATATGTTTTTTTGGGAACTATTTTTGTTTCCAAAAATGGCAACAATTTTCAAATTTTCAAAAACCAAGAAGAAGGTGCTTTCACTTGTTTTCAAAACAAGTTTTCATCCACTCCTCCCTCCTCCACCACCTCTAGCCACCCCCAATGCCAGTCACCACCGTTGGCCACCACCTTCGACCACCCCCCACATTGGCCACCCACCTTCCACCATCCCCCACAATGACCACCTTTCCTTTGACCACCAACTGCAACAACTCCCCCCCAAACAAGTTTTATTTTTATTTTATATGTTTTGAAAACATATGTCTGCACCAAACATGTTTTTTATTTTTGATTTTTTTTAAATAAAAAATAAAATTCTTGACAACATTTAAAATTCCTGACAACTTTACTAAACGCCACCTAACATCCTTTTCAGCAACCTAAGAGCATCTCCAATGGCAAATGCTATAATAAATTTTAGAATTTCAGTGTGTTTGTCTGCATCACCTTGAACTCGTTATAGTTATCTAGCCTACTGCTAATTAGAAAGCAAATCACTACGGCATGCCATAGAGGAAGTATGAAGAAGCCAAAAAGACACTAAAAAAGCCAAACCCCAAACCACGCCTAAATATAAATACTAGTGGGTGAGGGACAGACCATAATCTCTATTTTTTCCTTTAGCCTACAATGTTCAACTCTCTTTTTGTCCATCTTTTATCTTATTCTTTTCTTAAATCTAACAGGTTGCTTTTGTAACAATATCAAAAATAGAGAACACAGATGACGAGAGATTTTTATCTACGTTACTTTTACGCAGAAAGGAAAAAATAAAAAATAAAAATAGCAAACTACTCTTTTAAGGATGTGAAACTAGGATATACCCATTAGATTGAACAAACGAAATGGTGACAATTCGAACTTTATCTTCGGAAGTGAAACGAAGGCCCATGAAACAGCTCCCACCCAAGGCTCTGATGGTATCAATCGTAACTTGACCCAAAGTTCCCCATCAATGTCAAAATCTCGCACACCAACTGGCACAACAATTGGTATAATGCTAAAATTTAGTGAAAGCATCAACAACATACGAGCACCACCAGTATAACGGAGGCCTATTTGGTACCTTGATAACATTAGAGACATAGAGATCAATTAGAGGCAATATTACACACAACATGATAAATAAATGAATAAATACATAAAATTCCAAGCAAATCCATTAAACAAATCTAAAAACCAGTTTGGTAACATTCTTGTTCGCAAAAATTATGAAAAATTAAAATATAATATGTTTTTTTGGGAACTATTTTTGTTTCCAAAAATGGCAACAATTTTCAAATTTTCAAAAACCAAGAAGAAGGTGCTTTCACTCGTTTTCAAAACAAGTTTTCATCCACTCCTCCCTCCTCCACCACCTCTAGCCACCCCCAATGCTAGTCACCACCGTTGGCCACCACCTTCGACCACCCCCCACATTGGCCACCCACCTTCCATCATCCCCCACAATGACCACCCTTTCCTTTGACCACCACCTGCAACAACTCCCCCCCCAAACAAGTTTTATTTTTATTTTATATGTTTTGAAAACATATGTCTGCACCAAACATGTTTTTTATTTTTGATTTTTTTTAAATAAAAAATAAAATTCTTGACAACATTTAAAATTCCTGACAACTTTACTAAACGCCACCTAACATCCTTTTCAGCAACCTAAGAGCATCTCCAATGGCAAATGCTATAATAGCATTGCCAAAGCTATAATTTGGCAATCTATAGTAGCAACTTATTAAATTATAGCAATGGTGTTCTAATGGTCACATGCCATTTTGGTAAATCTCCAACTTTCCCTCCAATTTTGTAGGTGATATTTGGATATAGATTTTTTTGTGATTTTTTTATTGTTTATTTTTTGTCTTTTATGACCTTTCTAAAAAAATTTTATAAAAAAAATATATATATTTACATTCTACCTGACTAGACAAATATAAAAAAAAAAAATTAAAAAATTGAAAAAATTGAAAAAAATATATAAATATAATTCACCTCACCCAATGGCTCTATCTAGAACCCTCACTCTTACCTATCACTTTCATCTTCTCTCTCTCTCTCTCTCCAGCTCTGGTGGTTAAATATGTCAAAAACCTCCATCGATTAGTCTCTCCTTCTTAACCTCCATCGATTAATCGAAAACCTCCATTGATCAAAGCATCTCCAACCACAACCTCTTTCTTCTCTCCTTCTCTTTCGGACGGTTTCTCACTCACCCAAGGTCTTCCTCCGTCTCCTTCTTTAGCTCCGGCGAAGATCAGTTCGAAACCCAATGAAACCCTCTAAAAAACCCACTTAGTCCAAAACGGTCAAACCCTCTCCTTCGATCCACTGAAACCCTCACTCAAACCCAATGGTTAACCCTAATTCAAACCTTCACAAACCCTGATTCAAACCCTCCCAAACCGAAACCCTCATTCAAACTCTCCTAAACCGAAACTCTCTCTCAAATCAACCAATATCATGAAATCAACCTTGACGGAGGTGGTGCTGCGGCCGTGTTGTTCGGCGATTGATTCGGAGTAGGCAACAAAGTCACATTAAGATTAAAGTTTGTTTTCCATCTCCTCCATCGTCTTCTTCTTCATCATGATTGTCGTTGTCGTGATAAAAGAAAATTCATGTCCTTTTTTTTAATTTTTTAATAATTATATATTTTTTTGTCTCTTAATTTAATTTGTTCAATTAATTTCCATTTTTGTGTTGATTGTGTTGTTGCAAATGATTTATCTACACTATTTTGTTTGTTCTTGTTCACTTTGGAGCCAAAATTCTATTATCTTTGATGATGAGGCATGTTTGGCAAATGCCAAAACTCCTGCCAAATTTGGCTCCAGAAATGGCATTTGCTATATTTGGCAAGAGGTATAGTAGGCCATTAGAGACCCCCTTTTTTTTACTCTTGCCAAATTGTAGTTTTGGTATCTCCTTTGGCAACGCCATTGGAGATGCTCTAACATGCTATAATAGCAATGCCTTGATAATCAAATGAAACAGCACTAACTCCTGCTGCACACATTTCAAACAACTATTAGCTTGACATTGGCAATGTATTCTAAATATTTGTAACTTCCACTAATTTAAAGAATTTCATTCCTGACCAAATAATGTAGGTCTTGTAATAGTTTCGGTTTGTTTCCATGTTTAGTTATATTTAAAGTCTCATCCTACATTCTCGATGTTCTCCTATTTTAATGTACCTCCATGTCATGTTCTTTTTCTTTTTTCTCTTTTCTCCCTGTAATATGATTACACTTATTTTAAAGGAGATTGTATCAAGATGTTTGTAAGAAATCGACCGCTTTTGATCTCTTCTTTTCTTCTCTTTTCAGTTTCTAAAGAAGGGCCTGATATATGCAAGGTCCACTTGACGAACGCATGAAAATGTAATATTTACCGAAAATGTTTGGGTATTGATGGCCTTTTATTATGTTAATTCCCTCCAGTTATGTTCAGCCATGTAATAACAGGTTAATTTTCATTTTTTACAATGAACTTGTTAATTAGGATGATGATCAAGGGATTTGGAGAAGTCTTGGAGAAAGTGGAAGTAAAATAGAGTTACGATTAAGCAAGTTGAAGCAGTCTAGTAGACAGCCCGCTAGAGCAATTGTCTTGCAGCATTGAGGGGAAAAAATTAAAGAGCAATCCACTTGAGAGATTGTTAAAGTGCCTAGTCTAACAGATTGAATGCATACTCATGCAGCTAGACAAGCGGGTATAACACCCACTCCAGTGTGGTCAATAAATTTTAAACATAATGCATAGTGCTGGAGTGTTCTAGAGAAGAATGCCCAAACGAGTGGCCCAACATGAATGTAAAAAAACATCCAAATTCTAAGTTTCTCCAGTCAATCCAAACGCAAAAGCACAATATTAACAGGTAAGGCACAAACAAGAGCTGAATAATCAGAAAACAACATAGGAAGAAAAAAATACTAGAAATTCTAGAAATAACATACTGCAAATCATTGACCCGGCGCGAAGTTCTGCGCTCAACATTCCTAACAGACAATGGCTCATCCCCTAATGAGAACTGCTTTATTTCAACTCTCTGCACATAATCAGGCTTCTTCAGATTATCAATAACTGGCTGAAGCAACCCAATAAGCCAGTTCTCAATTCCACCTCTATAAACCTTCCACAACTTCCCCAAAACCATGTTTACCCATTCCACAGACTCTTTCCTCTGCAAATCCTTCTCAAAAAACAAAGAAAAACTTGTGGGCACCTGAGGCCAAGTACCTGGTCTACCGTCACCCCCAAGTTTATTCCTCTTCCTTGATGTCCAGAGTTTATCCGAAGCGACCCCAACAAAGAAAAAAAACACAAACAAGCCTACAATAGTCCGATTAATCGGCGGCGAAGGAAGAGGATGAATAACCCCTAATTGAGTCCTTAGCTTATCTACAATTGGGTCTTCTTGAAAGCTAGTAAAATTTGAACCCATACCCACATGAATTGAGTCTTGAGGTAATTGCAATTTGCCATTACCATCCAATTCATCTGCAAAACGTTTGACTACGTAAAATTTGGCTCCCCTCCTTGCGGAATTGGGGATTTCGATGCTGAGATTGTGGTTTCCACCATCAGTTGGAAGCATACAAGCCCGAAGAAGCCATCTTGGGCGAGAATTGTTGTGAAATTTTCTAATTGGAAAAATTCTTCGATTGAGTGGGAGTCCATGATGATCGAGCTTACATGGGCAGAGAGATGGCGAAAGGTGAAGAAGAATACGGGAAGAGTCAGAGGTGGTGGGAAGAGTTGATTGCAAAAAAATCATTTACTGTGGGAAACTTGAGAACCCTAATTTGAAGAATAGGGTCATGAAATGAGGTGGTATTATTAAACATGAATGAATTCACAGCAGAGATTGTGATTTTAACAACCCTAAAAATGGGAATTGGATGGAAGCTTCATTAATTTATCATAGATCACGCATTTCTGATTGCAGGTAAACACGGTGGATTTGGTTCAAATATCAAAACCAAATAGAAGGACGCTGTATTTGATAAGTAGTGATATCGCTTGGAACGACGTGGTGCACGTGGGCGTCGGAGCCAACGCGGCTCATCTTCTTTTTCTTTTTCTTTTTCGTTGTTTTTTTTACCCCCTCAAATTAGGATAAATTATAGTGACACCTCTGAAAATTTCTGTTTAATATAAATCTCTTTCATATTTAAAAAGTTATTATTTTTTTTTTGAGTTTTGTAATCTTATTATAAATTATTCCTAAATTGTTGATCTTATGTCTTAAAATTTTCTAAATGAGCATCTTATTATTTTTCTTATCATTTCTTTTTCCAATCATTATAATTACATTTTATAATTTTTCATTATTAAATTTTATCTGAACATATTCTATTGAGCGATGATAAACAAACATAAATTTTATATATAATTTTCAAACATAATGATATAGTTTACAAAAATGTTAGAGATTCTAAAAATTCTATCAAAATGTCTCACACATGTGAGATATTTAGTAGAAATTTTGATAGAATTTTTAAAATCTGTAACATTTTTGTAAACTATATCATTATGTTTGTAAACTATATCTTAATGGTAACATTTCATTTTAAAACAAAGCACCTATAAATATTATTTATATTTATAACAATATCACTATCATAATATTTTTATGATATTTTTTTGTATAAATTTTTATATATGAATATAATTTTTCATTTTTATTTCCACCATTATACCTAGATTAGATCAATTTAATCTATATATATTTAAAAGGTATAAAATTTATAATTTTTTTTAAAAAAATTCATTGAATACAATAAAATAAAATAATATATTGAATTTTTGAATTTGGTGAATCTAAAAAAAAAATCACAAAATATTATACATATCTAGATTAGGTGTATATACAAAATAGATAAATAAATTGCTTAAAATACTTAAAAAATCAATAAAAAAAAAGTATGAAAAATAAAAAAAATTAATTTTTTGTGTGAGTAAAATCAAAGAAGATAATTGTTATTTCTCTTGAAATGACATGAACAAAATATGTGTTTTATTTTATTATTTTATATGTATAAAATTTAAGGAGTAAATATGTCATTTTAATTTGATATGAGGGTAAGTGTAATTTTTTAAATATGATGAGGGATCTGTATAAAATAAAAACATCGGGGGGTATCAATGCAATTTACACAAAAATATTATAATCAATTATGCTTTAATTTTGAAAAAAAAAAACAAAAATATGTAAATCCTTAGGCCACTTTTATTTCGCAAATTAGATTGGACGAGATTATTAATGAGAGAATGATCAGTGAAAAGATTGTTAAATCATGTTTGTTTTGCAGAGTATATTGGATGAGATTGTTAGTGAGAGGAGAATTAGTAAAGAGATTGTTAATATGTGGATTGTTAGCGAGGAGATTAAGTAAAAGCATATTTGCTCTGATGATAATGTGAGAGATGTTTAGTGATAGAATTGTTGAATTATTTTTATATAAAATAAATAAAAAAATGATTTCTATATTTAAAAAAAAAAACTAAAACAAACAGGTGCACTTGGTAAATTTTTTTTTATATAAAACAGACTTAATCTGCTCACTATTTTCCTAATCTCATCCAAAACACAACCAAGTTAATCCCTCTACTGAGAGGAATTACTATTACTAAGCCCCTTGTACTATCAATCCCCCCTCCCAAATTTTCCTAATCCCATCCAAAACACAACCAAGTTAATCCCTCTACTGAGAGGGATTACTAAGCCCCTCGCACTATCAATCCTCCCTTCCAAATCATCACTAAACACATTGTGGGTGAGACCCATAACCATAGCAATCCAATCTAGCCATCTACGCCGGTAAACAAACATGACCTTAATGTGTGAATTATTAGTGAGGAAATTAAGGGAAAGTGTGTTTATTTTGATGATATAATGTGGGAGATGGTTAGTGATGGAATTGTTAAATTATTTTTATAAAAAATCTAAAAAAATAATTTCTATATTAAAAAAAATATTTAACAAATATAAACAAATACACATTAAAAAAATAACTCAAAATTCTTGTCAAAACTCGTAACCAAATAAATTTTCTTTTTTGCAAAACTCATAATTCAAAATACAGCTTCACACTTCAATCATCATTCTAAAAATAGTTTTAAAAAACAAAATAAAAAATGTTTTTTTGAATTTTTTTTAAATAGAGTTTTGAAAAGATTTTGGTTATATGTTTTAAAAAGAGTTTGGGTAAAGGTTTATATTTAATACAACCCCCTCCCTAAAGTACTAAAAATTATATTTTCCTCATTAAGATTTGTATTTACATTATAAATTACCCCCTTAATTAATTAACCGTTAGACCAATTAACGGTTTTTGCATATGTCCCTACCTTTCCCTTTCTCTATATGAATGTTGTGCAAAACCATTTGCAGAAACCCAGAAAAATAAAAATGAACATAAAATCATTTGCAGTAACTCCAAAAATAAAAATAAAATTAAAAAAATTATTTGACAAACATCTCTATTAACCGTTTTATCAAACAAGTCAATGAATCTTACACATTTCAATTAAAGCATTATGAATAAATAAATATTATCATGGACAAGTCTATCCATTACCACTTAAAACATGTTTGGTACGATGGAATGAGCTAAAATAGAATATTCATTTTAACTTTGCATTTCTTTTCCTTGTTTAGTACGCTTTATTTATGTGAGAATAGCCATTCCATTGGAATGTCCATTTCAACAAAATGTCGGAATGCCTATTCCTTCAGATGTATTATTTAAAATATAACTAGCAGATGTATCTGGGGATATACTGTGTGAGTTCTATTGTCTTGGTTTACACAAACTAGCAGGGCCAAAATGAACACAATAGTGAGAACTAAACTGTATCTGGGGATATACTGTGTGAGTTCTATTGTCTTGGTTTACACAAACTGCTGGGGCCAAAATGAACACAATAGTGAGAACTAAACTGTATCTGGGGATATACTGTGTGAGTTCTATTGTCTTGGTTTACACAAACTGCTGAACAGTTCAAGACATTATATACATTGGTTAGCTAGTAAATCCGATAGCGTCTCACAAGGGAAGGTTCAAAGCCAAAAGCTACTTATCATTTACAGAATATTTTCAATTTATGTACTCTCTGTTATTAGATCATGTTGTTATATTTTCTCTCCGTCAAATTCCATTCATGTGGGAGATTGTTGGAAAATTGGTTGTGTATAGGCTTATTTTGGGCCATCTTTGAGCCCAAAATTGAGTGGGCCCTAAACGTTTTTTGGGATGGATCCGAAAAGGTGACGTGTTCGTTGCCGCATGGTAAGTCACACGGTGAAGACAATTTGTCAAAACCATTTATGAGTGAATGAGAAGTTGATGTCGTTTTCGAGTTCGTAGAATGGACAATTAAAGAAGTAAATGTGGGTTTCCTTGAAATGGGTTGTCCCACATTGAAACTTTAAGAGAGCTTTTGTGGGTATATAAGCTCTTGGTGTACTAACTTGGGTTGGGCCCCAAGGGGTACCCCAAGTTTGTAGAAGGGAAGAGTTATGAACAAAGTGAACCTTAGCCCAAACCACCACACACGCACGCGCGCACAACCGCCGCCAATCGACTGGCCAAGCTGAGCCGTGCCAGGTGTGGGTGTGGGTTGGGTCGGTTCTAACATTAATTTTTTGGGCAAAATTTATTTGAATTTTTTTTCAAAATTCTTGAAGGAAATTATTTGAATTTCAAAATGAAATTCAAATTTGAAATCAAATTTTTTGTCCAAAAATTATGCCTTTTTTCAGATCCAAATTCCACAATCAGATTTATCAGTCTAAACAGTTTTTCAATCTGTTGAATTTCGGAAAAATTCATAACTACCCAAGACAGATTCAAAATCTGGACAGTTTTATAACTGCTGCAGTTACAGATCTGTCTAGTTTTCAGACTATATCTGTTCAAGGGTTTTGCACCTGTTCAAGTTCAAAAACATACCTAGTTGGACAGCCTTTGTATGCCTATAAATACCAGCCATTTTAACAGTCTTTGGTATCAAAAAAATGTACTGAAAAATTCATTTTCTTGTTGTCTAATTTTTGTTCTGTTGCATATATTCTTCATATAATTTTAGAAAAAAAATTTAGAGAGCATAGAACACATGTTCTAGTTCGCCGCACAAATTGTTTGGAGTGCTACTACAATTTGTGAAGATCATTGTATCCTGGGAGATAGACGCCTTTTATTCGTAAGCACCATAGCGGGGCGAATCTGTCTTAAGGACAAAGTGTCACACACTCAACTTGATCTTTTAAATATTTATTCAGTTTGGTAAAATAAATTCTGTAAGTAATTTATTTATTTTTTGTTTGATTTGTTTCAAGTTATTTATTTTACATAGAAGATTGTTCTAACAGATCCAACTTCATTCTCTTCTTTTAATCCTGAGTCTGCCCCCTTCATAATTACTGGTACATGAGCACAAGAACATTACTAAAACCTTACAAAACATCAGATCTTAATTTTATAAATAACTACATGTTGACACCCTTTTTATGCAATTTATCAAACATGTAGAGCAAATTTTAAAATTACCCAAACTATGTATTTTGTAAATGACCATCTTCTTTAACAAAGGAAAACATATTGCTAGAGAACCCATAAGTAAAGACCAACTAAACGAAAAACATCAAATCTTAGAGTTTTTTTACTTTTTGTGAATAGAAGCAAACCTCAAAAAATTGAATTCAGAAATCCAAGGATGGAAATGTAATAAAACCCCACCAATATGGATTTGAAATGAAGCTAAGGATCGAGAGGACATAATACCAACACATCTGTAGACAAAGAGCACAACAATAGGTCATGAGTTATGACCAAAAGCTACTACTTATTTGAATTAGGTCAACATGCTTACAACACTAGAGGTTAAAAATTTTTAAATTAAACAAAATATAGTTGGAAGTTACAAGTACAT